AGTCAAAAAACTAAAAGAGACCTTGGGGATTGCAGTTCCCCCCAGTGCTGCACCTTCATTTGCTCAGGTAGGTGAACCTGCGGCTGTTTCAGTTGAAACCGGTTGTGTGAGTTTGGGGACTGCGCGGGCAACATCCTTTTGTTATGAGGATCCTGACCCGGATCAGGACCCGGGGCAGGATGAGCTTCAGTCACTTGCTGCTTTCTTCCTTCACCTGAAGGAACAGAAGAAAAACAAGTCTGATCTCATCCTACTTCGGCCCCTGATCAACGACATCAGGATCAAAGGGCTGTTGGATTGTGGAGCCACCAGGAACTTTATATCTCCCAGTGCTGTTAAGAAACTGCATCTGGGGATGAAGGTTCAGCAGCTGCAGCAACCTTTGCTGGTCAGAATAGGTGACTCCACAGTGCCCACCATCAGGGAGAAGGTCCAGGGTATCCCCGTTACCTTCGACAACGTTGTAGAAGTCAGACATAGTCTGAACTTCTACATATTCCCTGACCTACCCTTTGACCTGGTGTTCTCTATGCAGTGGTTGAAGGCAGTCAACCCAAGGATCGACTGGCAGATCCCAAAGGTTGAACTACCAAACAGCCAGGGGGTGTACCAGCATTGCATGATTGTTGTTGATCATCACCCTAAGACTTCTTGCTACTGCTTGAGAGCGAGGGAGTTCTATTCTCTCTCGCGCCAGTACGACCATGAGCGTTTGTTCACAGCTCTGGTTAAGCAAACTGACGCTCCCCCTGTTTCCTGTCCTCCTGAGATACAGGATGTTGTGGATCAGTATGCTGATCTGATGCAGGAGCGCTTTGGGCTACCCAACCGGCCAACCAAGCATCGCATCGAGTTACTACCTGGAGCAGTCCCTCCTAAGGGACGAGTCTACAGGATGTCCCCTGCTGAGCTGGAGGAGCTCAGAAAGCAGCTTGAGACCCTTACCAGCAAAGGTTGGATCAGACCCAGTACTTCTGAATTTGGTGCACCGGTTCTCTTTGTGCCCCAGGGGAACGGCGAGTTCAGAATGTGCATTGACTACAGGGGTCTCAACAAGATCACTAGGAAGAGTACAAAGCCACTTCCTAGGATCGATGACCTTCTGGATATGGTGCAGGGCTGCACAATGTTCAGCAAAGTCGACCTCAAATCTGGGTACCAACAGATTGAGATGGCTGAGGAGGATGTCTATAAGACAGCCTTCAAGACCAGGTACGTTACTTACGAGTTCTTGGTCATGCCATTTGGACTTTGCAATGCCCATGTACCTTCCAGACAGAGATGCACCGCATCTTCAGGCCTTACCTAGACAAGTTCATGGTTGTCTACCTGGATGATATCCTGGTATTCAGCAGAACTGCGAGGGAACATGCAGAGCATTTGACTTTGGTCCTTCAGTCGTTACACGACAACCAGTATAAGATCAACAGGGAGAACTCCTCTTTTGGAGTTCCCTCTGTCATCTATCTGGGTCATGTAATCTCTGGAGGTGGCCTGGCTCCTGAAGCAGCCAAGATAGTTGCTATTCAGGAGTGGCCACAGCCACAGACTGTGAGGGATGTCAGGTCCTTCATGGGTTTAGCCTCCTACTACAGAAAGTTTGTCAGGAACTTCTCTGCAGTGGCTGCACCCCTGACCAACCTAACAAAGAAAGACACTCCTTTTCTTTGGTCCCTCCACTGTCAGTTGGCCTTCACACGACTCAAGAAGGCCTTGACTCGTGCACCCGTGCTGAAGTTGCCTAACCCCACTCTGCCATTTATGCTGACCACTGACGCTAGTTAGTATGGCATTGGGGCAGTTCTTCAGCAGGATGATGGGAATGGTCTACGACCTGTAGAGTTTACGAGTAAGAAGATTAAAACTCAAAAGCTCCAGGACTCCACCTACGAGAAATAGCTATATGCTCTTGTCTGTGCCCTGAAACATTGGAAGCACTTTCTCCTGGGAAGACACATCAAAATCTTCTCATATCACTCCACCTTACAGTGGATGAAGTCCCAGGGAGAGTTGAATGATAAGTTGGCACGATACATTCAGTTCATAGACATGTTTGACTTTGAACTGAAACACAAGAAGGGCTGCCACAACAAGGTAGCAGATGCCCTCTTTCGTAGGCCTGACTCTTTTGCATTGATCTCCTCCACTCGCTCCTTTGGAGAGGAGACCCGTCAGACCATTGCTCGTCTTTTGCCTCAGGACCCGACTTTTGGGCCCATAGTGAAGAATTTGCAAGCAGATCCTAACTATGAACCGGGCTATGCTCAGAGTTCAGATCTGCTGTACACTTACGACAGGGGGGAGGAGCGCTTGTGCATTCCCCAGGACCAGCGGCTCAGGACACTATTGATGTCAGAGTGTCATGACGCTCGTGGACATTTTGGGTTCCTAAAGTCATATGCAGCCCTGTCGCAGCGCTTCTTCTGGAAGGAGATGCGGAGTGATATGTTGCGCTATGTGGAAACCTGCGAGCTATGGCAAAGGAATAAGGTCCAGCGTAGGCCTCCTCTGGGACTGCTCAAACCCTTACCCATACCTGATGGCCTTGCTGAATCTGTGTCGATAGACTTCACAAATTTAGGCAAGACCACCCCTCGTGGCATGCGTCAGGTTATGGTTTGCGTGGATAGGTTCTCCAAATACGCACAGTTCATCCCCTTGCCAGAAGTGGCCAGAGTTCCGGCTGTGAGAGCAGCCTTCTCAGAGAGGTGGGTCACACACCATGGGCCGCCCACTTCTATAGTCAGTGATAGGGACCCCCGATTTTGCAGCGATGAGTGGCAGTCCTACTGTAAGGACTATCTGCACTCATGATTGGACATGACTTCTGGTCGTCATCCTGAAGCCAATGGTCAGGCTAAAGTGATGAACCAAGTCTTATTGCAATTGCTGCGTCCTGTCATCTCTCCAGATCAGCAGGACTGGGATCTCCACTTGGCTCGGGCACAACTTGTTTATAACATGTCTGTCCATTCCTCGACTGGGTTCAGTCCATACTGGTTGCATTGGGGACGTGAACCACGATAGCCTCTCGATGATATCATCGATAAGGCTAAGTCAGACTTGACACCAGGCACGATATAGTTCACCAGACGCTACTGCATAGATGTTGAAAGAGCACGGGTGAACTTCTTCAAAGCCCAAAAGGCGATGATTGAGCAAGCCAATCGCCACAGGCGGCCTTCCCCCATCCGCATTGGTGATTATGTTTGGGTGGCCAGTTTTGAGTTGTCGAGGGAGGAGGATATCTCCCCCAAGCTGTTGCCTCGTTACTTGGGTCCATGGCAGGTCTTAGATACAGTAGGCGCCGATCCCTTCGGTCCATCCTATGTCATTGACATCCCGCTGCATCTGCGCACCTACCCAGTTTTCCATGCATCTAAGCTGCTTCCATTCACTTCAGCTGATGCATTCCCAGACCGGCCCCCTCAATTTGGTCCACCGATCCCTGGCAAGGGATATGACGTGGAGTGGATTGAGGATGAGTGGGGCACAGGCCCCGACCGGCAGTATCTAGTGAGGTTCGCAATCCAGCCTCCTTCTGAGAACAGATAGTTCTACCGAAGGGAACTTCTCAAGACAGCAAAGTCAGTTGTTTACGATATGAAGCGGCTCAGAAGGGCAACCTTCCTCGCCGTTCACCTCGTCTGCATCCCTAGCTCGAAGGTCCTCGCTCCCCAGGGGGGGTAAGCTTGCTGATTTCGACTGCCGAGACTGACTGCGAGGTTGTATAGTGTACCGTTGTGTGTGTACCGCTGTGGGGGTTTGCTGTGTTTTTTTTTTGATTTGCACTGAGGGCCGCCCGCTGTTCTAAAAATAGTTGGGACTAACAGCAGTAGGGGCTGCGTAGTTACCGGCCCTAAGTGGCCCTGAGCCCTAAGTGCAGCAGTAGGACCGGTTTCGTAGAGGCCGAGTAGGCCCTAACTGAACCGGTACCGGTAGCCCCTAGGCTAGAGTAGTGTAGAATCTACAAGTAGGCTAGGGTAGGACTGTTTGGGACTTTTGGCGGTTCATTTTCACGACCCAGTGTTTGGAGAAGCCAAGCAAGTTGGCGGTGGCAATTGTCTGCAGGCGGCATCCTGAGACCCTTGCCTTGGACGACAGCCATAGCTGGCCCTTCTGAAGGTTGCCGGAGCTGGGGCACCCTCAGCGCATCTACCCTGGGGGTATCTGCGTTCGGCCAGGCTATGTGGAGGCTCCTCACTGAGTGTTTGTGGGTGGCGGCAGCCATAGCTGCCTGGTTCTTCGTCAGAGTTGTTCATCGGCACTGAAGACCTCAACGCAGGATCTGTTCTTCATCTGGGTGGTTGGCGCTGGCCTCTGGGAGGCTGTTTCGGTTGTGCGCTACTAACTGGGTGTAGGGTAGAGAGTGGAGTGTGGGGTTCTGAGAGTGGCGAGATACTGGGACAAACTCTGTAACGATATCTGGTTTAATTGGCTCTTCATCAGTGTGTATTCCAATTGTTATCCTCGCAGGTTCTTTCTTGTGATTGGTTGTTGGGAGTACTGTCAGAGAGTGAGAAACACTGTGTCTTCTCCCCACCTGTGCATAACCGTCTTCGGCTGCCGATTCTGATCTGTGTGCAGTGTGGACTCTTTCTCCTCTCCCCCCTTCTCTTATGCATGTATGGGCGTGTATGAGACTGTCTGTGTGAGTGGCGGTGAAAATCGTCAGAGAACCAAGTTCATAACACTCGTACCAGTTTTCTGCTGCTGTACTTGTACTCAGTGTGACTTGCTGTTTCGGCATTCGGAATCCAAGACTTCGACTTTGTGCCTTGCCACTGTGTCTGCGTCCGACCCTCAGTCCGAGTCAGGCGTGTCGAGTGAGCTAGTGTGTGTGTGTGCTCTCACTCTCTCCCTCTCTCTCTCCTCTCCCTCGGCTCACCCTCAGCCTCATGCCCGTCACACATTTCGTGGTTGACTGGTAGGGTTTGGCTTTTTCTTTGGGCCTGACAATAGGTTTGATGACTTCGAGTTTTCCGAACCTTGATCTGCAGGAGAGCCAGTGAACATAGTGGGGGATTATGATGCCCTTTCTGCAAAAGGCTATGACCTTCCCAGGGCATCTGTGCGCTCAGCTTTTGACGGAAACGTTGTGTATCAGTTTGAGACCCAAGAAACAGTGAGTTTTTTCTCTTCCACATCTTCTCTTCGTGTTCCCCCCCCCACCCCCCTATTGTTCCTTCGCTGTTTTGGACATCATGTACGTATGTACGTAATACGTATGTATGTATGCATGGATGCATGGAGGGATGGATGCATGCATGCATGCAAGCATGTCTGTCTGTCTGTCTACATGCGTGATTGTGTGCATGTATGTCTACATGCATGATTGTATGTATGCATGTATGCACGATTCTTCCCAGGGCATCTGTGTGCTCAGCTTTGGACGGAAATGTGGAGTATCAGTTCGAGACCCAAGGAACTGAGTTGTCTCTTACACATCTCTTCGTGTTTTTTTGTGTTTTTTCCTTTTTATCTTCGCTGTTTTGGATGTCAAGCCGGGTTTCTTTGCACGCGTACTGAATTGTTTTTTGACATCATGTTCTCTCGGAAAAGTAAGTGGCTTGAATTTGGCAAAACAGAAAGGAAAGAAAAAGAAAAGAAAAGTGTGGCATGCTGGATTCCCACACGGGCCCCTGCAGGGGCCGGCAGTAGGCTTAGGGGACTCACGGAGTTCTAGGGGCGTAGAGGTCCAGTTCTAGGGGGTCTGTAGGGTCCAGGTCCAGTCCTGCATCATTTCAATGAACGTTCCCCTAGAATATGTCAACCTACCCGCCTACTCCTTCCGATAGCGGCCGTGCAAAAGTTCTCTGAACTTCTCTCCCACTTGCAACACGGCACCCTCACAAGAAAATGGAGTTGCAGCCCTAAACGTGGATGAAGGTAGGAGGGAAGGAGGGAGGGAGGGAGGGAGGGAATGGGAGAGAGAGAGGGGGTGCACTTCGTGCACGCCGGATGAACCCCCCTATTTGGTGTTGGGGCCGAGTGTGAACGGATCGGTCCCACCTTTCGCTCACCACAGCGCTAAGAGAGAGAGGGAGGATAGGCGGGAGGGAGGGAGAGAGGGAGAGAGCGAGAGGGAGTGAGGGAGGGAGGATGCACTTTGGCACACCGAGGGGACTCACCTATTTCCTTTCTGGTTCGAGTGTGGGTGGAACTCTCCGCATCTTCAGGCACAGCACCGCAGGCACAGACACACACACAGGGAGAGAGAGAGAGAGAGAGAGAGAGAGAGAGAGAGAGAGAGAGAGAGAGAGAGAGAGAGAGAGAGAGAGAGAGAGAGAGAGANGAGAGAGAGAGAGAGAGAGAGAGAGAGAGAGAGAGAGAGAGAGAGAGAGAGAGAGAGAGAGAGAGAGAGAATGGCTGTGTGAACACAGCCCGACGGCAGCTGCGTTCAAACAGCCGTCGCGATTTGCCCGCCTTCTGCCTATGGGCAGCGTTCGAGAAAGGAAAATCCCGACAGTGAACTACACACCAGGATTTCTGTTGTCAGCAGTGCCCAACCCCTCTTAAAAAAAAGGCCCACGGAAAATATCGGCAGTTCTGCAGAGAGGGAAGAACTACACGTCAGGATTTCCGTTGTCGGCAGTGCCCACCCCCTCTTAAAAAAAAGGCCCATCGTAGCGCCTCGCCATGCCACTCACAGGGCCTTGCTCCACTACTCCCCAAATGTGCAAAATGAGAATGAATGAATCGTCCGCTAGACCGTGGAAAGATACACCCATATTTTTTTTGTCTTTTGTGCATGTGAAGAGTATGCTGCACATGCAGAGAGGCAGGGGGAGAAGGGACACTAGGGGGAGGTCAAGTGCCTGGTCATTCAAGCAGGAGAAGGTTGCCCTCAAAAGCTTGAGTAGCTGGAATAGCTAGAGAAGGGTGAGGGGGGAGCGTGAGGATGCGGGGTCAGGAGGATGAGAGTGGGGATTTGGTCGGTCGGGGCGAGGTGCGATGACAGAGGAAGCAGAAGGAGAGTCATCACGATAGGGTGAAGCGTGCAGGGCAACTCTGCTGGCATCAAGAAGGTTGTGGAGGAGGAAGATGTCGAGGAGGGTCCTAACATAAATGGGAGGAGGATATAGGTCGGGGACCCAAAGGGGACAGGCAGCGTGGATTGGGAGGGTAAAGAAATCACACGATGTTGTGCCACGTGGCACGCCACAAGAGGAGAGGGGAGGGAGGACGAAGGACGAGGAGGGAGGGGGAAGGGGAGGAGGGAGGGGGAAGGCGGAGGACGAAGGAGGAGAATGGAGGGAGGAGGGCGAGAGAAGTCGAAGAGGAAGGAGGAGGAGGGAGGAGGAGGAGGAGGAGGAGGAGGATGAGAACAAGAGGACAAAGAATCACGTGTGGGTTTGCGATGTGGTACGTGACAGGAGAACAGGAGAAGGAAGGAATAAGGAGGGAGGAGGACGAGGGGAGACGAGGAGGAAGGAAGAGGAGGGAGGAAGAGGATGACGAGGACAAGAACAAGATGGAAGGAGAAAAATGCGTGATGGTTGGCCACGTGGGATGTGATGGGAGGAGAGAGGGGAGGAAGGAGGAGCAAAGAGGAGAAAGGAGGAAGGAGAAGGAGGAAGGAGGGGGAAGAGGGAGGGGGGAGGAGGAGGAYGGAGGAGGGACAAGAGGACGAGTACAGGATGAAAAAGAATCACATGCGGGTTCACCCAAGTGGCACGCGACAAGAGAGGAGGAAGGGGGCGGGAGGATGAGGGAGGAGGAGGGGGGATGTTACATACTATGTCACACGGGCCCCGTTAGGCCCGACAGATAGGGGTTCGGATGGCGGTCCAGGCCCAAGGCCGGACCTTTAGACCGGTAGCGCCATTCAGGCCCACCGGTTGGCCCGTAGGCCACATTTTTGGACCAGACCTGACGGGCAGGCCCAAACGACATTACCGTTTGGGCCTGGCGGCGCTCTTGAGGCTGCCACCCGCCGGTCTGATCTGAACCGCTGATCTTGTCGGTTCAGGTCACGGCCAGGCCTCGCAGCATTGAGGCCGGCCTTTGCCATACCGGTACTTAGAGACCGGCCGGCCTCACTTGGAGGCATCGAGCGACTGGACGCGGCGTGAGCGCCAGTCCGTTTCGGTTCTAGAGGAGCAGTAACGCTGCGCTACTCTCAGCGCAGCTCGGAGGTGCCGCAGCAGCAGCAGCGAGCACGGAGCCAGGCAGCGGGCAGCCATAGCCGAATTCGGCTTCAGTCAGTTGCAGCGAGCGAGGTACTCGGGGGTGAGGTCTTTCTCCTCCCTCCACAGTCACTGGCTCCCCTCCTCCTCACCTCTCTCCTCCTCTGCCATCTCTTCAGACTTCTTCTTCTTCTTCTTCTTCTTCTTCTTCTTCTTCTTCTTCTTCTTCAGACTTCTTCTTCTTCTTCAGACTGGAGACTTGATACTAGTTGGACAGAGATCAGTGTTGGACTTCGGTGGTAAGAGGCTGTGGTACTTATCCGATTCGAGACTTGGAGATTGTTGGGATTGATACTCGGCGGCATCACAGATTGGACACCGGTTACATTAGGACTCTGTACCTCCGACATTGGTGACTTATTGTCCACGACATTTTGATCTTGTTCGATGACATTTTGGACTACCATATCGGTGACCTAGATTCTATCTCGGTGACATCTGGCGCTGCCTTCATCTCCCACCTCCTTCGTCTCTCCTCCCACCTTTCATCTGTGTATGGTTGTACGGGGCCTGAGCATCGTCTATGATTGGCTCAGACCCCACCATCTCATGATTGTTTGTGTGTTGAGTGATATCTGTATGAGTTCAGTCTATGTGAGTCAGTCCATTTATCAGACTTCCGCTGCATACATGCTCATCCTATATTGGTTGATCTTTGGTTCTGCTCATACTTGTTGAAGTATTCACTAGTATGCAACAGGGGAGGACGAGGAGGAAGGAAGAGGAAGGAGGAGGATGGAGGAGAATGAGAAAGACGAAAACAAGATAGCATACGAATCGCGTGCCGATGTGGCACGTGGTGCGCAACAAGAGGAGGGAGGAGGAGGAAGGAGGACGGGGGAGAAACGAGGAAAAAGGTGGAAGAGGAGGACGACGAGGGAGGAAGATAGCGTGGATGAGTTTGAGATGACAAAAAAGATTGTGGGTCGGTATTGCACGTTGAACGTGACGAGAGGGGAGTTGAGGTTGGAGGAAGGAGAAGGAAGGAGGAGGACAAGGGGAGATGAGGAGGAAGGAAGAGGGGGCAGGGGGAGGAGAATGGCGAGTGCGAGAGCAAGACAAAAAAATCGGGTGCCGTTGTGCGAGGTGGCATGCGACGGAGGAGGAAGGCGGAGCAGGAAATAGGAGGAAGTTGGATTGAGGGAGGAGGACGACAGAGGAGGAAGTCGGAGGAAGGTGGAGCAGGAAATAGGAGGAAGTTGGATTGAGGGAGGAGGACGACAGAGGAGGAAGTCGGAGGAAGGAGGGAGGACGACGAGGGGAGACGAGGCGGAAGGAGGGGGAGAGGATGACGAGCACGAGAACAAGGAAAAAAAGAATCACGTGTCAGTGTGCCACATGGCGGGCGATTGGAGGAGAGAGTGGGCAGGAGGATGGAGGGAGGAGGAGGAAGAGGGGGGGGGAGACGAGGAGGAAGAGAATGACGTGGACCAGAACAAGATGAAAATAAAATGGTGTGCCCGTGTGCCATGTGGCGCACAATGTGGCAACTCGACGGGAGAAGAAAGTAGAAAGGAGGGACGTGGACTAAGGGAGACAAGGAGGATGAGGGCTATGGGAGACGAGGACGATGGAGGAGGAATAAGGTGAGGGAGGATGATGACAATGACGGAAACAAGAAAAGGATATCGCACACTATGGCACCAGGAGAGATGAGGAGGAGGGAGAAGGACGATCATAAGAACCACGAGATGAAGAAAAGACATTGTGTGCCACACTGCCACATGGCACAGGACTAAGGAAAGAGGAGGGAGGAGTATAACAGGTTGCCTGAGTCGAATTTTGACATTTGCTTTCAGTCGATGCAAATGTCAAAAGTTGCTTTTGCTGACTTTTGCTAACTTTTGCTGACTTTTGCTGACTTTTGCTGACT